AAAGAAGTTAAAACGCGATGTACAAGAAAACCCTGACCTGAGCTAATAAATGAAATAAACAGTGTGTACGAATTTTACACGATCGTACAGTCGTGGTCACTATGCTCGCTCAAATAATAAAAATACAACCAGTTCCCGTGTCGTTTCGGACCATTCGTCCTACGACATGATGGGAACCGGAGGAATCGTAAAGCATGCGACTCACCGATCGCTGACTTGAATCACTGCAATCGTTTCACCGGTAAAGCATCTGAGAAGTGGCTCATCTGATTGACTGGCTGCTTGGTAGATTGACTGCTTGGCTGCTTGATTGATTGATTGATTGACTGCTTGGCTACTTGGTTGATTGGCTGCTTTCGTCAGATTTGGATTTGGTGATTTGTCCGTAAAGTTGGCGTGGCCTTCTGTAATCATAAATAAATCACAACGATTAACTTCTGTAATCACAAAAGAATCACAACGATTAATTAACTGTGTTTATCGATTTGCATTTTAATTAACATGCAGAAATACAATAACTACATTACAGAATTCGGTTATAAATTTGCAAACGCTTGTCAGTAGTAACATCATGGAATATTGTAAAACATTTGAAAATGTATGTCAAAATACTTGAGTAATTACTTAGAGAACATGTTAAAACGTTTGCAAAAATATAACGGAACACGTAGGTAACCACACCGTAAAACATATTAAACATTCACAATAATTTGTAAAACGCGTAGGTAACGACACCACAAAACCCAGTAAAATATTTGAAAAATAATGGTAATACACTTGTATATCAACACCATAAAACACGTTAATATATTCGTATACACATGCACAATTATAAATTAAAACGTTTAAAAAATTTGTAAAAATAAGTAGGTAATAACACCACAAAACTCAGCAAATTATTTGAAAAATAACGGTAAAGCACTTGTACATCTACACAATAAATTACCCAGAAGCACTTGCACGAACATGTCAAAACATGTTGCTAACTACGCCGTAAAAATCAGTAAAATATTTAAAAAGTAACGGTAAAGCACACTAATATATTCGTATACACATGCACAATTATAAATTAAAACGTTTAAAAAAATTTGTAATAACACCATAAAACCCGATAAAATATTTGAAAAATAATGGTAAAACACTTGTAAAACTGCACCATAAATTACATTAAAGCACTTGCACAAGCATGTCAAAACATGTAGGTAACCACACCATAAACTCATTAAATGTTCACAAAAATTTGTAAAAATACGTAGGTAATAACACCATAAAACCCAGAAAAATATTTAAAAAATAATTAAAAAACTTGTATAACACCATAAAACACACTAATGTATCCGTATACACATGCACAATTATAAATTAAAACACTCCCGTAAGCACTTTGACACATGAGGAACCACACCATAAATCGTATTAATACACCCCCATATTTATTAAAAAACACTTGATAAAACACACTAAACACTTGCACTAGTATATTAGGTAACACACAGATGAATAAATAATCCAATAAGTGAACCATTGACTCGTACCGGTAAGTGTTGATGCGGGACGTCCGACCTCCTCGACAGGTGTAATTAAACTGAGACGAGCGCGACCTTCCGCGAGTCGACGATTGGCAATTCGCGTTAACCAATCAACTATCAATTATTAGCACCAATAGGGTGATCCCATTCTGACAGGTGGTTATAATTATTGCATTATGATTAATTTTAAACAAATTGTTAAATTTACATTGTTTATTGCATTTTTTGTTATATCTATTAAAATTTATTATTTTTATAATTTTTTTTTACGCGAATATACCACAAAATGAATTTTAATTATTACATTACAATTTATATTTTTATAATTATTAATTATTCAATTATTTATTTAACAAATTATTGTTATAAGTGTTAAAATTTATTATTTACATCATTTTTGTGGGATTATATCTTGCTAAATATTTATTAATTATTATGTAAAAATTAATTTTATTATAATTTTTAATTAGCACGTGCTTATTAATTGAATTATTGTTACATTTATACAAATTTGAAGTAATGACACTGAATTTTCAGTAAAATGTTTACATTTACTGATGTATTCAACTAATATCAGTATTCGGACATACGATTTTTTCGATTAATTTACCTGTTTTAACGCTGGATGTCGTTGCACTTTTTGTCCATGAAATGACCATTTTTTTCGTTTCTAGCGCTCTAAGGAAGTTCTTCATATCTAGAAAGAAATGTCGGTATTTCAGATTGCTTGACATAACAATTATATGATTTATTTATTCTATATCTCGTTTGTCATAAGATATACAATTTTATAAGCGCAGATGCATAATGCAATGTAATGCAATCATCCATAAATTACTAAGGACATTACGACTGATAATTAATTTCCACTTTATGTATATTACACATATCATGATAAAGTAGAACTCCATTTTAATCGTAATCGAACTTTGTATTAGCTCCTATTTTCTATTACAGCGAAATAATAAAATAGTAGAATAATAGAAATAGAGCAGAATCATAATTTATATAATACAATAGAATAATAAAATATTAATACTTTTATTCGCTTCTAAATTCGTATTCGAATATCATCTGCAAAAACGTTTCACGCACGCGCTATACCATCTTTTTTCGAGCTTCCAAGTGACGTGGCTTCAATGACGGCACAAGTCGTGCTCGTACGGTGAAATTTAATCGGTTTAGTTGAATTATAAAACAATGATATGATTATGAGAACTTGATAACAAACTTCGCTTGAAAACATCTTCAACTCGTAATCGAGAATTTACAGCGATCATACGTTAATTCGTGTAAGTACGTTTAACCTACCAGCAATCATGCTTTCATACTTGTCACATATTTAAAAACTGTGTTATAATTGTGTGTGCTTCAAATTTATCCTTGTATCATTTTCCATGACTGCAGCATCATGACTACTTATGAGGAGTTCATTCAGCAAAATGAAGACCGTGATGGAGTACGTTTCACATGGAATGTTTGGCCCTCATCTCGCATTGATGCTACAAGACTAGTAGTACCATTAGGAACTCTTTATCAACCGATCAAGGAAAGACCAGACCTTCCTCCAATACAATATGATCCAGTTCTTTGTAATAGATCTACTTGCAGAGCAATTTTGAACCCATTATGTCAAGTAGATTACCGGGCTAAACTATGGGTCTGCAATCTGTGCTTTCAAAGGAATCCTGTAAGACCAAAATCATTTTGATTGCAAATTTTAACTCTTATTTTAATTCAGTAACTGTATGCTTTAATGTTTAATGTTTTCAGTTTCCTCCACAATATGCTGCCATTTCAGAACAACATCAACCAGCTGAACTAATTCCAATGTTTTCAACAATTGAATACACTATAATGGTAAACATCCATGATTTAAAATAATTTATTAATTTATTAGATTTTTATTATTATTACTTTTATTACAGAGAGCACAATGTTTGCCACCCATCTTTTTATTGGTTGTGGATACATGTATGGATGAAGAGGAATTAGGTTCTCTTAAGGATTCATTACAAATGTCTCTTTCTTTACTTCCACCTAATGCACTCATTGGCCTTATTACATTTGGAAGAATGGTACATGTTCATGAATTGGGTTGTGAGGGATGTAGTACAAGCTATGTTTTCCGTGGCACTAAAGACTTACAGCCAAAACAAGTCCAAGATATGCTAGGTATAGGTCGTCCAATGCCAGGACAAAATCCAAATCAGCAAAGAGGACCTACTGGGCAGCCATTGCCACCTGCTAACCGCTTCTTACAGCCGGTACATAAGTGTGACATGAGTCTAACAGATCTACTAGGTGAACTGCAATGTGATCCTTGGCCTGTAGGTCCAGGAAAACGTCCATTACGATCTACCGGTGTTGCATTGGCTGTTGCTACTGGTCTTTTGGAAGCCAGTTATGCTAACACAGGAGCTAGGTATGCAATACTGTTCATGACTATACTTCAACACCTCATATGAATTTTAATATTTTCAGGATAATGCTGTTTGTTGGTGGACCTTGTTCCCAAGGCCCTGGTCAAGTAGTAACAGATGATTTGAGGCAACCCATCAGATCACATCACGATATTCAAAAAGATAACGCTAAACATATGAAGAAGGCAACTAAACATTACGATTCTCTTGCATCTCGAGCCGCAACAAATGGTCACATAATAGATATCTATTCATGTGCTCTTGATCAAACTGGTTTATTAGAAATGAGACAATGTTGTAATTCAACTGGTGGTCATATGGTTATGGGAGATTCCTTTAATTCTTCTTTATTTAAACAAACGTTTCAACGAGTATTTGCTAAGGACAATAAAGGTGATTTGAAAATGGCATTTAACGCAACGTTAGAAGTTAAGACGTCTCGGGAAATTAAAGTTTCTGGAGCGATCGGCCCTTGCGTTTCCTTGGGAGTAAAGGGAGCAAGTGTCGGTGAACAAGAAGTAGGATTAGGTGGCACTTGCCAATGGAAATTTTGTTCTCTCACACCTTCCACAACTACAGCGTTGTTCTTCGAAGTTGTGAATCAACACACCGCACCGATTCCACAAGGTGGAAGAGGCTGTATTCAATTTATCACACAGTACCAACATAGTAGTGGTCAGCGGAGAATCCGAGTTACTACAATTGCAAGAAAGTATGCAATCACTACATCAAAGTAGTAGATTGTATCATTGAGTTTGAAAATTATGATATTTCTGCTTGCAGTTGGGCAGATGCATCAACATCCTTACATCATATAAGTGCTGGATTTGACCAAGAAGCAGCTGCTGTTCTTATGTCACGTTTGGCAGTTTTCAGAGCGGAGAGTGACGATGGTCCAGATGTTTTAAGATGGGTGGATCGTATGCTTATCAGATTAGTTAGTGTTCTTTATTCAATTCTGGGTTATATTCCGATAATATATATGATTCTAATAATTTGAAATATACTTGTTACAGTGTCAGAAGTTTGGAGAATATGCAAAAGATGATCCAAACAGTTTTAGACTTGCAGAGAATTTTTCATTGTATCCACAGTTTATGTATCATTTGCGTAGATCACAATTCCTTCAAGTATTCAATAATTCTCCAGATGAAACTAGCTTTTATAGGTAAGCTATTCTGCTTAGTAATCACTGTATGTATTGCTACTCAAATTCTGAATTTACAGACACATGCTTATGCGTGAAGATTTAACAAATTCCTTGATAATGGTGCAACCAATCTTGTATAGTTATGGATTTAGTGGTCCTCCAGAACCAGTTTTATTAGATACTTCATCTATTCAACCTGACAGAATTTTATTGATGGATACTTTCTTCCAAATACTTATATTCCACGGAGAAGTAATATATTTTATTACTTTTTATGAATAATGGATGATATTGTAACGTTCATTCATTGGTTACAGACGATTGCACAGTGGCGTCAGTTGAAATATCAGGATTTGCCAGAGTATGAAAACTTCCGACAGCTTTTGGCAGCACCTGTTGACGATGCTGCCGAAATATTGGCTGGAAGATTTCCTGCACCCCGGTACATTGATACCGAACAAGGTGGTTCACAAGCGAGGTTCTTGCTAAGTAAAGTGAATCCAAGTCAAACTCATAATAATATGTATGCCTACGGAGCGGTAAGTAAATTTTCCTTTTACCACTGTTCTTTAATAAGATACATTTCATATATTACAATTCATAATTATCGACAGATAAAGTCCTTTTATATCGAACTGCACTCAATATTCATTTTCAATTGTTAAATATCAATAAATCACACGTAACTAATATTTTTTTATGTCACCGTGATCCGGCAACCAGGGGATGCCGATACCCAGTGGGGTGTGTTTTCCATTCATTTGATAATTTTATTTGCTTTCATTGCTTTAATAATTTAATTATATGGGGTAATGTGGTAAAGTTACAGTTGATATCTATAGTAACATTACAATAAAATATTTATTCTATGTCAGAATATTTGTTAACAGTATTAAAATATCTAACGGATATTGACTGTTACTAGGAAAATTTGCAGGAACATAGGTATTGGGATCTTAATCTATATCTTATATTATTTAACACAATTTCACGTTATTACCATGCAGGTGTACGGTATTCTACACGCTTTAACATATTTGTACGATTCTGTTGTCACAATTCACTGGTGGTTGGCATCGAGGCATTTTGTTTATTCGTCGATTATGCTTTTACAGACTATAATTAACTCTTATTTTCCATCGGTTTGGGACAAGATATCTCAGCTTCTATTTTTTTTGTTCGATTATCGATCGTGATGTCTAATTAATGTTTGTTTTAATTTAGGAGAGCGGAGCGCCTGTCTTAACTGACGATGTCAGTCTACAAGTATTCATGGAGCATTTGAAGAAATTGGCTGTATCTTCTACAGCTTAAATTGCAACAGTACAAAAAGATTTAAGTATTGTTAGTTGCAATTTGTTCACAAAGATAAAATAGATACAGCCCGAATTTATATAAATATATATATATATATATTTCCGTATATATATATTAATGGTTACGCTATTGCGATGGAAATATATAATTAATTAAACGTAATTCCACAATTTTTTTTTCGGAGTCCAAGTATAATTCGTGTATAAAACAAAATACATGTAATACATATTTTAAATGTATTGTACCCCAATTTTTTAAAATGCGTCAACAGTAGTATAACTTATTTTTCAATGGTATTATAAGAGTAGACCTTGTCACTTTTTGGAAGATTGTAAAATGAGTAACAAATCGTGTAACTAATTAGACATTGTAAAGAGTAGGTTGTCAAAATCTGTAATATCTATGAAATTTATACATTATTAAACATAAAAATGATATATAAGTGTACAAGTTTTTTATTAATTAAAATTATAAATGTTTTCATAAAATTTATAGGAGGAATAAAATTTAATGATTCACCTTTCAATACATTGATAACTGTTTTGACTTCCCTTTTTATGTAAAATAAATGAGATTATCTGTGAAAAAATGAACTGTTACATTTAATACAACCATCAGTACATCCAACTCATCAGTAAATTGTGCAGTATTAAAGAAATTAATCAAACATATTAACTGAGAAACCTTATAGACATTTTTTGCTCAACATCTGTTCGTTCCAGAGCTTTGCAGAATTCTTCAAACGATATCATTCCATCACCATTCTCATCTGCCTCTACTATGGTGCGTTCTGCAATGCTAGTTAACTGTTCCTCACTAAAATAAATGTGTTCACATATTATCTATGAATAATATGAAATGTAATGGATAATTTTTCTCCTTACCTAATGTTTGCACCAACCATCATATGCAAAATAGCTAAAAGTTCATCTTTGGATATCAAATCATCATTATCTAAATCGTACATTTTGAAAGCAACTAAAAACAATAAATAACATGGTGTTTATAAGGCATGGTGGAGTTTTGAATTATATGACAATATTGTAATATTATCAACTTACATTTCAATTTTTCTTGCCTAGAATTTAACCTATTGGGACTATTCTTTTTAATGGGTCTAAAGTGAGCCAGCACTTGCATAAATTGTAGAAAATTGACTCTATCATTACCGCTTTCTTCGAAAAAAGCATTTACAATTCTATCACCAAGAGGATTGATTGCCAATTCTGGAATTCTGAGAAAATCTTCCCTGCTCAAAGTTCCACAATCTCCGCGATCAAGACTAGTAAAACGACTGTACAGACGTTCAATTTGATTTGGAGTAACTGTAATTATATTTAAATATGTACTTGATAACTAGATGCATATTAACATAACATGTCAATGAACATTAAATAAATATTAATGCTTATAATTTTTAGTAAGATAGTAAAAGTAATTTCGAAATATTTTCGTTACGAATACCTACATCCAGTAGCTTCTTGGATTTGCGCTATTTCTTCTTCGCGTAAAAGTAAGCTGGATCTGTTACCCATATTGACTAAATATAACAGTTCAAAAAGCTTACAGTATTTCAAATTTAAAAGTTAATATTTATAATCTATCACGTGTCTCCTAATTCATATTTATGTATGTACTCTGTTTGGTCAAAGTACATCAAACAATTGACTGACAGCTGACACATTAATCATGTGTCAAAGGTAACTTAGATAACGGAGAGTTCTTTAAGGTTGACATACAATGTAGTATAAGAAATGTTACAAAGATTTAATTAATAAATTTCACAATACAGAAATGAAATGTTTTAAATAATTAATAACATTTTTGCACAAACACTCTTCGCAACTAATTTGACTAATCAGTTATTTATGTCGTTCTAGGGAAAGTAAATTCTCTATATAGAAAGTTATAATTATGTTTTCATCACTGAATTCCCTAGTGTTTCATTTGCTAAATCAAGTAATTTATATAAAAATAATTCATTAATTAATGCAGTTGTAAATCATATATTATTTTTAAAAAGCAAAATTTACATTGGTGAATGATAACATAGAACTTTCTGTTTAACCTCTTTTATTACTGATTTGTTCCAAAAAAGCGGAATGGATCCTGTTATGTGACTGAGTATAAGAATATCAAACATTGTGTAAATTTTTGACGTGAAATTGTATTTGTGTTATTATCAAGTCAGTAAATGAATTTGTGTACAATTTTATTACTTACTGAATTCAAATGCTTTCGAGCTGGCGCTTCATCGATTCGATTCCAACGTCAGTATTCAGGAAATGACGTGATTACAGCTCAGTGTCCACGTAGCGCTTCAACGTCTGACGAGCGCAGTTTTTCGTACGTCAAACAACACTTTACAAAACGTTCTCCGATCGTAAGCAACGTGAGTATCGCATTTTCGTGTATTGTCGTCGTAATTTGTATACGTGGGACTAAAACAAAGCTGTATTATTAAAATAATTAACATTTCTCACTAGTTACAGTTCATTTTCTGTTATTAACAAACTCGAAATTAAATAGGTATATAGGTTACCGAATATAAGTGAAATCAAACATATTATTTATACACTGTATTATAACTACAAAAACATATGTAATTTTGCACACTGCCTGCGTAAAATATTATGTCAATTCTATTTAAACATTCTAATTTTAAGAATAGTAATATTGAACCATTATAAATCTTATTTCAGTTTTGTGAGCATAATGGATCAAGTAAAGAAATTGACAGAACCTGGACGCCAATTTGCAAAAGACAGTATTCGTCTTATTAAAAGATGTACAAAACCTGACAGAAAAGGTAAAGTTTAAATGAATTCAAATAACAAGAGTATTGTATAACCTTAACTTATCCTGTGATGTTTCTTAGAATTCCAGAAAATTGCCATTGCCACAGCTATTGGTTTCTGTATAATGGGTTTCATAGGATTCTTTGTTAAATTAATTCATATTCCAATTAATAATATCATTGTGTAAGTAATACATTCAATTTAATTCATATGGATATCATTTTCTGAGTACTTGTATTTACATAATTATTTGTATTTTTCAGGGGTTCTTAAGATCATGTTAAATAGGTATAATTGAAATTTAATAAGGTTATTTCCATTGTTTTCCATCAATGCGTCTTTATTTATAAGATAAAATTATGTATTTTATTTTGAATCGATTGTGATTGAGGTATGTGAATGTGTGTGAGTAATATAAATAATGAATTTTATAATAAAATGTGTGTCTAAGTATTTCTGTTGGGTTCTTTCATTTCATGTCTTATGAATTAATTTCAACCAAGAACAACAAATAAATATTAGTATCGAAGGCACTTTTATTTAAAGAATAAAATTTTCCCTTAGGTTACAACGATAAAATTTTGTCAGCCATTTTTCTAGTCATTTGATTCAATGCATCTCTCCTAGGGAAAAATAGCTGTCGCATGGAAATCCATGGCCAGGTACTCAGTAATAAAAGACAATAGTACAATTTTGTTACAATTAATAAAATCTTATATACTGTTTGCTATTTTGTTATTAAAGTTATTTTGCTCTTATTTTCTAGAAAGACTTTTTAATACATTTTACTAATAAGATAATGAACTTAGAGCCCGATACCATAAATGACTGTATCTGGGATTTTAATAATGGCAGTATATATTGGATAGCAAACGTAATTATATCAAACTACACTCTATATTTAAAAAAGAATAGTAAATTTTGTTGATGATTTTTAACAGAACGTGTATTTCCTAGAACACGATCAGAATTTTTATAAAAAAGAAAAAATGCAATACTTCCAAAACAGTCTGCAAATTGTCCACAAAAAGAAAAATAATCAAATAGTGATTGCTTAATATAACTGCGTGTGATAAATCCAATACTTAAAGATTGTTTAGTACGTCGATAATATTAATAATAATTTCACCGTGTTCGGATTTTCTTCTCAATATGTCAACAATAGAAAAAGATTCGTATATAAATATAAACTCTTGATAGGTCTGATACTTTCTGAACTTTACATTAGCAAATAGACATCGATAATATATTTATACACTTAACGTGTGTATTAAACTATTAAATACTCTCTTCAGGCAACTTAATAAAATTTATATAAAAAGCAAATATATATATATGTAGCACCACACGTGTGCAATTGTCACGTGTTGACATTCGTTCTACGCATTAAAAAAAAACATCCCTATTAATGCTCGTAGATGCTTAATCTCGTGAAGAATAAGAGGAAGACTTTGTCTCACTTCACGTTTCACGAAGTGCAAGAAAAATCTTCTCCTTCATTAGATGAACTGGCGGTAACATTCCGAAGATGAAAAGCATTTTTAGTCCGTGGACTATTTAGGCGAGTCGCGTTTGGCTAAGTATTAAACTAGCTTCCATAAATTGCAAAAACGCTTAAGCGTAGCCCAAAGTGCGTTTGCCGAATTTTCACAATCGATAATTTTGTAGCACAACTTGTTCCGATCGACTAATAGTTCTGTAGATTCTTTGGCATTTCTCTGTGTATCAAATGTACAAAAATTGATGAAATCACGCACTTAGAGTTATACGGATTAAATTTGAAAGTAATTCCTGATACTTGTTTAGCGCAAACGCACCTGGGGAGGGTAACTACCCACAAAATTGAGGTATGTCGTTCGGTTTTTGTCATTAATCGTCATGTACTTGTACGTGTTCATTAACTGTTAATGACGCGCGCGCATGTGTGTTTGTATTCATATGTGCGTGTCTGCGAGTGTAAATACATAACATACGTATATCCGTATAAAACAGCGATGGACAAATCGTGAGTCCGCCGAAAGACTTACGGGCACTGGTGTACATAGTGACTTCAAATTGAAAAATTTAGAAATCTAAAAATTTGACAATTTAAAAATATAGAAAGTACAAATTATAAAATTACGAAATGAACCCATCAGTACCCGCGAATATACACCTGCACTTCGATGCACCGCTGCGGGCACAGTTGCCCATCACTGTATATAAAATATGCACATTTACAATATTAAATATCGTTCGATTATTCGTATAATTATAAGTATCCTTTGAACGCGTTACAGAACCGCGTCGCAATAGTCGTGAACAATATCAGAAGACTTACGCTGAGTTACGAGTTATACTTGGTTTCTCACTGGTGAATCGAGAAGCGGTCGCGTGTGAAAAAAATAACGGCAATAACGCAGACTGCAATTTTAAAGGGACTCTCGATTCTCACTTAAAATAACCAAAACATCTTTGCGATGCTCAATTTAAAATATTGATTGATAATCATAAAAAAAATTATCTTAATTGGGGATCAAAAAGAAAACAAACTTTTCTTCAATTTTCAATATCTCGAGCATCGCAAAAACGATTCGTTCATACCTTACATTAATTATATCTTAGAATGTCACAGTACTTATGTTCGAGGAATTGGTTACTTACTTTCAAGAAGGGTTACTTTCAAGGAATGTCTTCAGGCGTTCAACGTCGAACGTTTCGAGTATAAAGGATCGTGTTAAAAAGAGAAGATAGAGGACAAAGAGAAAGAGAAGAAACAAGAGCGACGCTGCTACCATAATCAACTTACGAGCTACAAGACTTGCGATTAAACAGAGAAGGGAGATCCAGGAAGTCCGATTTACCGGAAACGAAAGGATCACACATTTGCACAGAACGAAATCCTGGTCTTCAGTTAACTCGGATGTTTCCACTTTTCTAGTGTCTTCATTGGCGCAACTAGGATTCAACGCGTTAGATCATTGTCATACAGTTTATCACCCCATCAGGTCATCACAACATTCGTCTAGGGGATCCTGTCTAATTGCGCCAATGTGTCTTCTTGGAATGCATACGACCGTTCGTTCACCAGCTTCAACAAAACTACCCCCAGCAGCTTCTCCAAGCCGGTAAACCGGATTTCCTCAAAGGCAACTCCTCAGACGTTGCTTGCGATGGATAAAGCTATTAAACCGTACAACCGGTGTCCGTGGTGGGCACGTACGGGCTCTCCTGCCGATAAAACTCGCCCTCGTACTCTTCCACCTTCACCGGGTACTCCGTCACACAGTTCTGAGGTTGATTCAACGCTGGAGGAGGTTGCACGAAGTTCTCTTGGTAACTGGGCAACTGCAGCGGCTCCGCGTACTGCTGATAAGAGGTGTCGTTGCCGCCTTGCTTCAGACACGTTGGCCTGTGGAAGCTCAACATGTCCACCAGCCTACGCCTCTGTGTCTCCAGCTCCTGGATCTGCGACTTCAAGTCGTGATTTTGCGTCTCCAAGATCTCTGACTCCTTTACTAGGATCACCGTCTTTTCTCGCTTCTTTAGTCGACACTTTGTGGCTGCGATCTTGTTCCGTTCGCGTCGTCTTCTACGCCTTTCCTCGTCCTCTGGTGTCAGCTGAAAAGAATAGTTGAGTTTTTGACGGCTGTTCGGTGGATGTCGAGAGAATATAGGTAGAAGTTTTGTAAAACATTTCATCGGATGATCTAACGAAATATTACAGTCTTGTTCTGCATGTTTGAGATTGAAATCCAATTCGAGGGTTTTGAATGCCGAAGGGCAAACTCTTGAAATCGATGAGACGGTGACTTACAGCACAAATCGACCGACATCACAACCGCATTATCGTTTTATTAACGAGAACAGTATGTGAGTAAATTTCTTACTCCACTGCGGTTGTTGTTGTTTCCCGCTTCGTCCTCTTCCTCGTCGTCCGCGCTGCCATCTTCCTTCTTCGTCCTCTTCTTGGTGTCATCTCCGCTACCGTTGGCTCGTCTTTTTGTTTGTAGCGTCAACTTCAATCCTGCAATATTTATTTATGAATTAATTACAATTCAAAGTTGAAAAAATTGACGCGACTTTATAACACACAATAAAGTTTTACTCGTATCGCTACATTTATTACATTGTTAACATTATCAGGGTATTAATATTATTTTATCGAACATAGTCGTTTATCTAATTTTAGATTTCTTATCGGTAGAGTACTGTAATTGTAAATAACGCTACATAACAACAGTATAAATAATAGAGTTGTAATCGAGCATATAATATTTATGCCACCAGAAAGATACACAAGTTTGTAGGTGAGTTTTAATAAAAAAAATTCGGAATTTCTAGATCGAACAAAGTAACAGAAATAAAAATAAAAGTATTCATCTAGAGAAAAGATGCAGCATTAAAGAGCAGTTATATAATGGTTATGGCAGTAACATTGCAAAATTGTACCATCACTCGTTTCTGTCTCGCCTCGTTTATATATCTCGTCCTAGTTACGTGAGACGTGTTTTACTTCCTTCGTATCATTTGTTCATCTTCTGACATCTTCAATAATAAATAGCTGATTTTAGTAGGCGTGAAGATATACCGTTGGATATTTATTACCTTACATTATCTTTTTTATTCACATTTTACAGAATCCTTACGAATGGAATATCTATAATGTGTAATGTACAGTTGGCTTTCTTGGGAAAAATCAACCTGACGATTTGGAAATCTACTTGTATTATACCCAACAGTACAAACTGAATGACAAACTATTATTAATTTAATCAGTAAAAAAGCTAAGAGTACAAAGAACTAGAAAGGCTAGTTTAGAAGCGAATCTTGAGATTCGAGGTAGTAAAGTTGAAAGGGTCAAAAACGTCCTTGGAATCGGTAGATTCGGCGGCAAATAAAGTAAGAAGAGTCGAAAGAGGAGCCGGTAGGATATCAAGGTCACCACCGGATGGATGGGTACCTTCTTTAATGAGCTGACTACAGGTGTGCTGAACACTCGGTGGGCTCGGCTCACCGCTGCTAGTCGAGTCCGTACGATCCCTGCTCTTCTCGTTCGTGTAACCCTCGAAGGGATTGGTCATGGCGATTAGGGAGTTTACGATTTCCGGTGTCCTTGGTGTGACCTCGGCCGCCGCGACACCGAGAAGACCCGCGGCAGCCGTTGGACTAGGATTCACGTTCACATTCAGGTTGTACATGGTCGGTTATTACCATTTAACCTGGAACAAGAACAGAAGAGTACCGAGGTGAGATTAGGCGGATGTGGAGGTGATCAGATCGGAGATGAACAACCAGCCTGGATAACAGTTATTATACCTTTTTGACGATGACACAGTTACGAATAATAGTGATTGTTCAACTTAATTGTTTAATAACATTCAGTTCATGAAATTCATTAATAAAACATATCATCGCGTTCGTAGATCTTTAGAACCCTAATTCTATAAATTCTTATAATTGTTCCGACGCTAATTCTATCCAATTGGAACTCCTGTCAAAACTTTCAGCTACCGAAACATGGCCCGAAGGTGCTAAAGCGTTCAAGAAATTAGCAGAATTTTTGTAGAGAGGCAACAGTGACACATCGATTTTGACGATTTATTTCTCTCAACGGAACAAAGTCTAAAGTTTAAGTAAATTTCGTGGAACTGTCGTTAAATAATTAGCGAATTCCTTCCGTGTTCGAAGAGAATTTCGATCTTGTCGCTTAACTGTATCTCGACGACATTTCCTGCTCGTAGAATCGTAGCCTCGTTCTATTCTGCCGATTGTGCATTCTTCTTTTCCGGGGAATGAGAAGAATATTGATACAGCCTTGAACGGGCGACTATTGAGCTCGAATCAATGCGAGAACAAAGAGGAATCCAGGCTGAATCGCGGTAACGCTGATAAACCGAACCGGAAGCTGAAGATCTCTATCGATGCCGCCAAGTGTAACCGGCTTTCGACGATTATCAAAAGTTGCAACGCGTTCAATAACGTTCGCCGATAATGGAACAGTTATACGACTAGCATTTCGAGCCGTCGTGACGTCTGATAACCGTTATCGGTTACGGAAGAACTCGGCAATATTGAAATCGAACGATCACGTAGCAAAAAGCGTTCGTTCGATTCCTTCTTACAATGGCGCGATCTGTAATTTTGTCCTGCGAAAGTTTGTTGGATGCGACATTAGTCTCGTTCTTAGAAGTGCTCGTTATATCAGCGATAGAATAAACATAGTAAATTCCTGGAAGAAAACAAAGTGGATATAATTGATGTATCGAGAGAACGGAAATCTAGAGGAAATTGCAACTAATCACACTTTTCAATTGTCTACGATCTTCCAGATCCCTCTATTGATCTAAGTCCCCAAATCCTTACGTTTCTCATGGATTCATATATTCGTAGATCGTTAGTGATCTCTAAAGCAAGTTCTAGCATCTAATTTGCTAATAATTCCTTTAGCCTAAATGTCACTGTCGTTCAAAATGCAGTTTGTGCGTGTAACGTTTCACGAACGTACATCAATAAGAATGCGTAAATCACAATATCGCGTTACAAAAGCCCGTTAAAATCTTAGTCGGAGTTGTGCAGTCGTTTCTTTGTGAGAAGAAGGTTGGGCAACTGGTAACCGAGCCGCAGTCCGAAGAATTCGATGGCTGAAAACAAACCGGGCCCCGATTCTAGCCTGGAGGACGAAGCCGTTTCTTTTTTAGAGGACACGTCGCGTGGAACGTGCTCGAATGCTCGCGTACACCCGTCAAAAATGTATTTTTGACGAGAATTGACAAGCTTTTAGCGTTTCCCCTACCGCGTCCACTTGTTTCGCCTCGCCCGATGGATTTTTGCGCGTCCTGGATAGATCGTGCACATCGTAGCCGCGTTATTTTTGCGATCTTCATTCGACGAGCACCGAGTTACGTAAGCATTCTGGCGGAAAGGTTACCGGAAGGTGGCTGTCTGTGTGCTCGATGGGAACGTTCCGGGATGATTTTTAGGCTCTCCGTGGTTCACCGTCCAAATCTGGACTTTCTGTAAATATGTGTCCTTTCTCGGTTGTGAAACACGTTTTACTTTTCTTCGCTTGTTTGATTTGGGAGGATGTTAGAATTTAGAGCTTGTAAAATTCAAGAATTTAGAGCTTGGTAATTTGAAGAGCTAGAAAAAATAAAATTTTTGGATTCTATAGATTCGGAAATCGTGGAATTTGAAGATTCGTAGTTTGAGAACGTGGGCGTTTAAATGCGAAAGCCCGATAAAATCGAGTCACTGGTCCTTCTCCGAGCAGAGGACCCTTTCTCTCTTTTTGTGAGAGTGCCAGATGCAAGAGCGTGTGCGTGAGAGAGATCGGAGTTTCGTAAGAATTTGATCGTTCCGTATTCGGAGCCTAATGCCCTTGCAACTCCTTCTTCGTAGCCTTCTATGGTTCCTCCTTCTCTCAGCCAGTGTTTCTGACTGTGTGACTCCTCCGACATTTCCCGCGCAGTTCTCCGGACAACCGTAAAATGGACTTCCTCGGACCGGATCTCCTCTGATTGTGTGTTTGGGTCGGAGACGACCCATGGTCCCCTCCGCCACAGGCAAACCCACTGACCTATATGTTGCGGAGGAAGATGACTCGCAGGCGCTCATCGCAGCGATGGCCTCGAAGTGATCTTGAATTTGAACAAATTCTAGCTTTGCTGGCCTTCTTTAAAAAGTTACGTCGTTTTAAATTCGATCATGAAAGAACGTAAGATTATTAAAGAACGCGATCATAAAATATTAGTGCTTAATTTAATAAATGATTAATCTGGAGCAATAGGTGCATCTATTGGCCGAGTTTAAACAGCTGTTGTATTCATACATTAAGCGAATTACCTCGCGTAATTCTCTGTCAGAATGATCTTGTACTCTTGTCGCAACGAACTACTTGCTCTAACACCTTGAGCGAAACATGCATGTGCGTTTAACATGATTCTGATATCCCGATGGGATAAGTACATTTATTTTGCAATATACTAAAGGACATGTATTGCATTAATAATTAATTAGTTTAATTACATACAGAGAAGTAACGCGAGTGAATATATTTTACAATGGAAATGGAATTTGTAAATGGAAGGAAGAGAGTAAGTGAATTCTTGCGTCTAATTTTCTCTTGTCTTCTCTGGCGTGTTTAGTCACGCTGATTAAACGGAAAGACGATAGAGAGGAACGCGAATCGAGGCCACGAAGCGGAAGAAGGAAGAACGCTTTGATTTTAAAATTGAGCTACGAAAATAGCTTGATAAATAAAATCAAAAAAGTACACAATCAACTTCTCGTTGCAAGTAGATTCTAATAACAAACTAATTTAATTAGTTCAAACAGTTTTCTTTCTTCGCTTCTCTTTAAAGCGCAGTGTACACTTTTGTAAATACAAAATCAACAAAAACACGTTTCTAAAAAAATAACAAAATAACAGTTCCGTTCCACAAATCTTACTAATTTATTGCAAATGCGAGTTTCATAGTAATCGAACAGGATACAACAATCCCTATTATAAAACACGGAAAAACCCGCAGTTTATCTGGAATCGCAAGAAAAAGAAAAGAACTTTATGCAAACTATGTTTTCTCGAAATACACGTGCCAAAATCTCGTTAAGTTTTCAACGATACGCAAATAACACAAAAAACAACAACAGGGAAAACAGAATATTCGAAGGAATCCGTTGGAAAATCTGGCAAATAATCGATCGACCGATTATGCGATAGAAGGATCATACGCTCGCATAATCGACGGCTGATAGGAGGCCGCTGCAACAGATTGAAATAATAATCCGTGAATCGAGTTTGTTTGAATGGGAACAGGTGTCCGATCGAAGCCGTCGCCTCTGCACGTTGTTAAACGTATAAATAGAAACCGTTTGATTTTGATGTATGCCACGAACGCTTTGGTATTCGGCGGATCTTTCGTTGAAAGATTCACGAAATAAAAGTTACTATGCTATTTTATTTTTCTAGCTTACTGAATTCTCGTTATACTCTCACCTATTAGATCACAATGCGTTGCATTCGTATGTACTGCAATACGTTATATCACAACACATAGCAACATAACGAAAATCCCCTGTACTAAAACTCCTATCGCAGTTATGTCAGTTACAAGATACACTATCACCAAATGACTAACCTTTTATCAGTTCGATTGTAACTTCTTTCGTGGTACTAATTGCGAGCGTACTTCGATTAAAATTAACCTTTCGTGATCAAATGGCAGAACAACATGATCTGACCAATTTTATAACGTTTATATCTAATCCATGACCAATTTAGTCGTCGTTTAATATAACACAGACTTACTCGAAAACAAATTTTTCTATACGATTCACAAATTTACCAATAAAACGCATTGAGAATTAAATTTTATAAACAATAAATAACGAACGTGATAATATTTCGAAATGTATCCATTTGAACGACACGAATAATATTACTTGCGTTAAGTTCTGATAGAAAAGTCTTGTTTATCGGTGTTGTTCGGTGTTCGGTTACCTTAAACGTGAGCGTGAGTTCTCCGGAAGGAAACAAAGGTTCCTCTGTGGCTTGCTACAGTGCTGAATGTTCCTTTTATCCGGCGATAAAGTTGATAAAGTTTCCGCTAACATTATTGGATAGCGCGAAGTATTTTAGTTTAGTCTCGGTGGCGGGTGTGTCGTTTTCTAATAAACAATGCATTCTTTGACAGAGAACGATCGTTTCACGGGTTTATAAGAAATGTTTGAATGTTGAAAAAGCATCGGGATGTAAATCCATCGAATATAAATCGTCGATAATCCGCAGGCGTCACTCTCAAACGTGATTTATTTATCTTGAAGGTGAATTCGAGACGAACGATTTTCACGAGACGAAGAAAACAAGACGAAACGATATCCTAGGTCGAGGTATATATTATCGGGAGATTAACGGAGACACGCGGTTAAAAATGGCCGAATAAAAGCGCGGAGATTCGAGCGAGAATAAGAATGAAGGCCCATTGGAAAACACGTTTGCCGTTGAAAAATGAAGAAAAAATTCGTGAAAGCGTCGAAGAGATATACATAAACGTATGCAAATGTTGCACCGGTTTCAGCCGTCGCTTCTCTTGTCGCTCTCTGATTATTCCATATTTGCGATTATTATCCACGGGTCAAGAGGAAAACAACTATTCCAGATTTTCTTATTATTTTGCGCAAAGAAACAAAATATACTTTCGGCCGAGCTCTGTTATCGATT